GAGAAGTTGGACCTGTAATTGGAAGGTCGCCAGTTCAACTCCCTGTACCGACAACATTAAAATGTGGGTGGGAAAGGTGAAGCACCCACACCCGCCTCCACCCTCATTTGCCCTACTCTGGGCCCTTGAGCAAGGCCCTTAACCCCCACATCTGCTCCCCAGGTGCCCCAGTTGGATACTCTCTGCTCCACACAGAGGGCTGTGGTAGCTCAGTGGTCTGTGATTGTGTCAGGAAGAACATCTGACGTAAAAACAATTGTTAAGACTTCATGTAAAGTCAGTTCACTGTGGAGAAACCTGAAGAAGAGGGTAAAGGTCCTGGATCCAGACCTCAGTCCAACTGAGAATCTCTGGTTTGGTTTAAAGATTGTTGGACACAAGCAGCACCGTCCAACCTGAAGGAGCTGCAGTCGTTTGGACATGGAGACAAAAAGTCCAGGTTAGATGGACCGAGATCATGGAGACAGACCTCAAGAGGCTTGTTATGACATTGTGGGTGGTGCCAATATAGCAGAAATAAATAACTGTCAGTGATTAGAATATTTTACAAAATGCTTACATTATAAGAAAAATGCTGAAAGGAGCAGGAAAAAGCTAAATATAGCAGAAAGTAGCTGAACAAAGCTGAAGCAAAACAACAGCTGAAATGAGTAGTAACATGTCATAAACAGCTCAATGAGATTGAAGGACATGGAGAGAGCTCCATTCATTTTTATTGAGGAAAACATGGCTGACAAAGATAAATATTTCAAAAAGTAAAAGGTGCAAATATTAAAAGTCACAGCAGGAAAGTCCTGAAGGAACTGAAAGGTCTATTTTGTGTAGGCTTCGCCCTTTAAGGCTATCGCTAGTGGGTTTATCCCCTTCGCGTGCAGCGCAGCACTGAAAACTTTAGTTCACGCCCACCTGCTGTGTGGGCCTCACCCCCGGTCCGTATAAATTACGGTGAGACCGGGTAATCGGCTCCCATATTTTCTTCAGCCAACCAGCACTGTTTATCGAGAAGAAGAAGATGTCCAGCACCAGCACCAACCGTCTGTGCCCGTCCTGCCAGACTGGCTACATTATGAGCTTCGTCCGGCATGACATCTGCGAAGGATGACTGGGTCCCCGCCACTCAGACCTCACCTCCTCCTGCCATCCCTGTGACCTCCTCCCTCTTGAGGAGAAGCAGAGACGAGCAGCCTTGTTCAAGGCCAACATCGAGGAGTGTTTTTCCGTGGCAGGGGATTGTTCGCTGGACGATGCCATCGCCTTTTTTGACGCTGAGTCACGTAGCGAATCGGATGATTCCTCCAGAAAAGGCGATGTCAGCAGCTGCCTTGTTGCTCATTCCCTCCTGGAGAGCGTAATGTCGGAAGAGGGGGGGCCAAGTGGATGCTCACTCCGTACAGCATTTCGAAGAGGCTGGAGGACACAGACCTGCCTGAGGAGACGAAGAGCTCGCTTTACAAGGCAGCTGACGTCATTTTGAACATGTGTGCCACCTCTGTGGTCTGCCTGTCTTGCATCGCCGCCTGGATGACGATGATCCAGAGGTCCACCTGGCTTCGTCTCTCTCCATCCATGCCGAAGAGGCTGCAGAGGGACCTGCTGGAGGGCCCCATCACAACAGACGCGTTGTTCGGGGTCAACTTCAAGGCCATGCTCAAAGTCCAAGAAGTTCGAGGAGGTGTCGGAGACTGTGCGTCACATGATGAAGCCGCAGCCACCCTCCCGCCCGCTGGAGGGATCACCGTGGCCAGCGACAGCAGCAGAGATGCTCCACGACTGCAGCAGTGACTCCTTGCCCCGCTCCTCCACCGGCCCCTCCCGCCAGAGAACAGCCCTTCCCGGCACGCCAATCAGCGAGTCAGCGCTTCCCCAGAGGCCATCAACAGGCGCTGCCTTGGTCCAATCAGCCGCTGGGCCCACGTAGGAGGCAACACAAAAAAATTACTCTTTGTGGGGAATGTGTGTGTGCATGATGATGAATTATGTTTTACAATAAAACAAAAACATCATTCAGAGAGTATGGTTTGTTCTGATTCCAGCCTGACTGTCAGATCGAATTATCTCACCGCAGCCTCTTTTCACACATTCCCCACACTAAACGAGCAGGTAACCTCAAAACAGGGTTTTAAAAGGCACCGCAGCTCGGGAAATCACACAAAACGCTCGCCTGACACATCAGCAAAAAATAAATTTTTTTCAGAAGACTGAGTCCGGTAAAAACCCTCGCTCTCAGCTAGAGCCTGCGTTGTTTTCTGACATTTCTGACCGCAGCGGGAGTAAACGTGTTTCTCCACGACAGCTACAGCCTCCATCCAAACAGCGTCTCATCCCTAAAAGCCCTGATCAAAGCTCCTTTTGAGCCATTAGATCAGGTTTCACTTAAATTTCTGTCACTTAAAACAGCCCTGCTGTTAGCTCTGACATCAGCAAAGAGAGTGAGCAATTTATCTGTGCTCTCTGTTGCTCCTTCATGCCTCAGGATTCAAGCTGACGGCAGCTCAGCTGTGCTGAGACCTAACGCAGCTTTCATCCCTAAAAACATCACAAGTTCATTTAAATCGAGAACGATATCCTTGAATGGGATTTATCCTCCTCCGCATAATTCAGAGAAGGAAGCAACATCTCACCTCCTCTGTCCCGTGTGCACACTTTCATGCTTTGTAGCACGCACAGCCACACTGCGTCGTTCTCAACACCTGTTTGTGCATTGTAGGGACAGCTCCGCAAGTCGCCCTTTATCCACTCAGCGCCTCTCACACTGGCTGTGTGAGGCTATTTCTGAAGCTTACAGAGCATCAGGGCTTGACCCTCCGGAGAATCTCAGAGCTCATTCCACAAGAGGGATTTCATCCTCTACAGCTTTGCATGGAAGGATGACAATGGAGGACATTTGTACGGCGGCTTCTTGGTCATTGCCTTGTTCATTTATTTGTTTTTATCTACGTGATGTTTCTGCCTTCTCCATGACTCATTCTGTTCTCAGGGTTCTAACAGAATGATTTCTTACTTGTTTCATGGAGCTTCGTTTTAAGCGCACATCTGCCCACATGCAATTACAGTGTGAGACATTTATTATCAATCAGTTCATGACTGCCATTTTATTGTGACTAATCAGTTCATATTGTTACTAATCAGTTCATATTGAAGAGCTGTTGACCTGCTCTGTTCGTCGTTACACTGTTCCAATTCGTAACCCCTGTTGTTTCTATTCACAGCAGCAGGTCTGCTTTCAGCTTTCCTTTTTCCCCATCAGAGACCTTTTTTTCTCCGGGGCGCTCCTATGCATGGAGCGCGTAATTACGCACACAGAAGGCTGAGTGATTAAATGTTTTTTGGTGCAAGCGGGTGCTTCATTTGTGTCTGAATGGACCCAGTGAGGCATAGACTACATCCTGCTTTGCCTTTAACCCACTAGCGATAGCCTTAAAGGGCAAAGCCTATACGAAATAGAACGTTGGTTACGAACTGTAACCCCAGATTCTATGAGTATAGGCACAGCACTTTAAGCTCTGGGCCTCACTGGTTCCTAAATGGCTGAAGAAAAAAGCTATTTCGGCACAGATTACCCAGTCTCACCGTAATTTATATGGATGGGGGGTGAGGCCCACACAGCAGGTGGGCGTGGACTAAAGTTTTCAGTGCTGTGCTGCGCGCGAATGGGATAAACCCACTAGCGATAGCCTTAAAGGGCTGCGTCTATACTCATAGAATCTGGGGTTACAGTACGTAACCAACGTTTTTCTTGCTGAAAGACGTAGGGAAGAAATGCGAACCTCAATAATGAGAATGATTTAGAAACATTGACACTAACAAACATCAAGGTCTCTTCTTTGGGTGGATCCTTTTCATACATTTTTATGTACTAACTAAACCCCTAGAAGTTAATGAAGAATGCACATCACCCACTGCCTTTCCTCCAGGGTTTTAGATTAAGATCATCTTGTGCTGAGAAATAACCAAGTTGTAACAACTTTGTTCAGACTTTGACAACACAATGTGCCATCTCATGCATGAAGTGTCACTCTCAGAGTATGTGTTGTAATTTCAGCTATTACCACATCAAATTTTACATTAATAGTTGTAAAACTGACTGAATTATAACTATTTTTGTTTTGGCTAATATAAGTAGGTGCAGCAGCCATCTTGAAATGGGTTTAGTTCGGTTGTAGGTGTACATCCGATAAATACTTCCTGCATGTTTTGATAAAATTCATCCAGTGGTTTATGAGATATTTTGGTAATAGACACATGAAACTCGGGCAGCACGGTGGCGCAACTGCTAGAGCTGCTGCCTCTCAGCAAGCAGGTCCCTGGTTCAAATCCCAGTCTGGGGGCCTTACTGGGTGGAGTTTGCATGTTCTCTCCATGCATGCGTGAGTTTCCTTCGGGTACTCTGGTTTCCTCCCACAGACCAAAAACATGCATATTAGGCTGATTAGTAACTCTAAATTGTCCCTAGGTTTGACTGAGAGAGTGAATGGTTGTTTGACTCGTTTGTCTCTATGTGGCCCTGTGATAGACTTGCGACCCGTCCAGGGTGTACCCTGCCCCTCGCACTGTGATTGCCGGAAATTGGCACCGGCGACCCCCGTGAACCAAAATGGAACAAGCAGGTAAAAGATAATGGATGGATTGATGGACACATGAAACTCTTCAATTGTTTTCCTTCTTGCGCTCAGTGAAGGTGGAGACTTTTTCCTCCCACTCCTTCCCCTATCTTCTATCTATCCCCTGCTTCTGCTCTTTGTCCTGTGAACCTTCAGAGCCTCTAGTTGCATATCTTCCAAATTGTACATCATGGATCTGGTCAGCTGTCTCTCACAATTGATCAAATTTTATCAAAGAAAAGACAGGGCGAAGGAGAGCCTTCCTGCCCCAACGGGACACTCGCAGCTGGATACAAGATGGATTCCTGAGGGCAGTGGAAGATCGTGTGTCTGTCCATATTGTCGGTTGAGGACGTTGAAAATGTGTTCATAATTGGATTTATGATAACAGGATTTCTGCTATTTGAAGTTGGTGGTTACCTGGCATATCGGCAAATTCGAAAAACGTCTGCAGCTGTTCTGGCCATTGTGAAGCTGCCTGGCCAGTGTGAGGGGATGTGCCATGCTCTAAACACTCAAGACTCAGATGCTGGGTGAGCTGAGCCGTAAGCTGGACATGATTCTTGAGAATCACAGGCTACTTGTGACTCCTGAAGCTCGCTGGCAAGAAGGATTTGATCTTGGAGAAGTTACAAGATCGGCTTAGCGGAACTATGTCTGATGTATGTTGCTTTTTTTGTGCAGAAGTTTTTTTTATCAACTTTCACACTGTGTCCTGTTAGAGAGAAATGAAATTTCATTGTGCTTCTGTGCAATGACAATAAAGGCTGATTCTGAATGCGTACATGGGCAAAAACATTTTTAACCACCTTTGCTTTTTAGCCATAGACAATAATAATTTACTACAGTTTTCTGAAATCTCTTACAAAACCTAAACTCCGAGGCCCTGAATGAACAAACTGTGATTTGTTCTTTTTGTGAGGTTTATAGGAACCAGCAGAGCATGTTTTCACAGTTCTTGGTTTCAAACAACAGCTGAGTGTGAAAGAAACGCTTTGCTTTTATTTTCTTTGTGCGTTTTTGTGTAGAATTCATCCACAGTACACGGTGTTACTTTGTACAACGTTGAGCAGCAGACACAGTTGACTCACGGTTCATTGTGTCGTTTAAACAAAGCCTTACCAGTGGAGGGCGTGTTGGATTGAGGGGCAGTGGTTTCTTCGGTGGGCCAATTCTTTGTGGGCTTGGGGGGGACTTGTGTGGTGTTGTCGGGAGCTTTCCAGATGGGAGGGGTGGTCGTACCAACTTGACGTCCCGGGGACCAGTGAGCGGAGATGGGGCAGGTCTCAGAGGTCGCACGACGTTGACTGGTTGGGTGCCATTTGTCCCGGGGCCCGGTCTGAGGGGCAGGACCTCCTTGCTGGTGTGAGGAAGCTGAAAGAAGACAACAGATAACTTACCGAAGAGTCAGAAAAGTGAAACAAAGGGAAAACTGAATTAACAAGAAGTACTTCGATGGCGGAAAGTCACAAGGCGTTTCCTAGCATTCAGAGTTAGACATGATCTGTTTCTGAAAAAGAAACCCAGTTTAACTTTCAGTTTCTTTACTAGGTTTTCCACGTGGAGCTTAAAAGAGAGATGCGAGTCGACCAAGATACCCAAATATGTATAGGAATCAACAAACTCAATGGGGACACCATTTGAGCATAAAATCAGAGGAAGAACTGCTGGGCCCAACTTCCTGTTTGAAAAAAGCATCCCTTTGGTTTTATCGGCATTTAAAACAAGTTTGAGGTGGAATAAATCTGACTGGATGGTATTATATTAAATGCAGATTGCAAAAGCTGGAAAGCCTTATCAACTGTTTTAGCTCGACAATAAACAACTGTGTCATCAGCATAGAAATGCAAGGATTCATCATGGATGCTCTGACCTACATTACCTATGTAGATTGTAAAGAGGGTGGGTCCTAAGACTGAGCCTTGTGGTACACCATTGTTGACTGTTAAATAACTGGAGGAAGTACCATTATGTTGAACACATTGCCTCCGAACTGAGAGATAGTTAGAGAACCAACCAATGGTGTGTTCTGAGAAACTGATTTCTGAGAGATTATGACACAAGATGTTATGATCCACAGTGTCAAAAGCTTTAGACAGGTCTAAGAAAAGTGCAGCACAATAATCCTTAGCATCCAATGCTTCAACAACATCATTAAGAACCTTCAGTGAAGCAGTGGTTGTGCTGTGTTGTTTCCTGAAGCCAGATTGATGGAGAGGTAAGATGTTAAATGAGTCCAGGTAATTTTTGATTTGAGAGTTTATTAGTTTTTCTAGAACCTTGGCTAAAATGCAGAGTTTAGAGATTGGTTGATAGCTGTTCATTGAGGTGGGGTCACCTCCCTTCAGCAAAGGGAGAACAAAGCCTGTTTTCCAAGCATCTGGAATGGAGTTTTGGCTTATGGACAGGTTAAAGATGTGGGTCACAGGGACTGTGATGATATGAGGCCAGCCTTTAGAAATAAGGTGGAAGTTCATTTGGTCCTGCTGATTTTTTAGGATCAAGATCTTTTAACAGTTTATTTACCTCACTAACTGAGAACGGAGAAACAAAAAGGTGTGATTAACTGAGGATTGACTTATAGGAGGGATTTGATTTGTAGAAGTTTGGTTATTAATTGAAGTGGCTGATTTTCTGTTAGTAACTGTGTCAAATAAAGAACTAGAAGCAACAAAATGTTTGTTGAAACAGTTCAGGATCTCGTGCTAATTTGACACAGGAACAGAGTTAACGAGAAGTTGTGATGGGAGGTTAGATGATTGGGGGCTGCCTGAGAGAGATTTGATGGTTTTCCAGAATATGTTAGGATCATTTAGATTTTTAGAGGTCTGAGATAAGAAATAGTTGTGTTTTGTGGCTTTGATGGCAGTTGTGCATTTATTCCTCATCTGCCAAAAACTCAACCAATCAGTGTCTGAGCCAGATTTTCTTGCTGCGGCCCAAAGATGATCTCTCCTGTGCAGGAGGTCAGCTAGCTCTGGAGTAAACCAGGGGCTGTCTCGTCCCTTTATTCTGAACTGACGAAAAGGAGCATGTTTGTTCACAAAATAAATGAAACTATTATGAAAATAGTTCCAAGCAGAGTTCACATTGTCATTTAGTAGAATATGATGCCAGTCAAAGTGGGATAGATCCCAGACAAATGGCTGTTCGCAAAAACGTTTCAGATTCCTTTTTTGAATTAATCTGGGCTTAGAAGGTGGAAGTTTAACATCTCTGAGAGCTGCTATTATACAATAATCACTTAAAATGTCAGCGAATACACCTGTACCAGGGAATTTGTGAGGCATATTAGTTAGAAACAGGTCTAAGATGGAAGATTTTTCAGGACGGTTTTTGTTTGGTTTAGTGGGAGAGTCAATCAATTGGGCTAGATTGAGTGACAGGCAACATTCCTTGAATTTATCACAGAGGGGGGTTGACTTGTCCCAATCAATGTTGAAATCTCCTGCCAAAAAAATCTCTTTGAATTTTAAATTTCTAAGGAATTCCATCAGGGAGGACAGAGCCTCAGGTGTTGCTGAGGGGGGACAATAACAACCCACCACAGATAAGATCTGGCCTCCATTCAAAGTGATGTTTACAGCTAAGGCCTCAAACTGGTTTGGAATTGTTTTAGCAGACACAAGACTAGAAACCAGAGAATCTCTGATGTAAATAGCGACTCCACCCCGATTTTTTTGACGATCACAGCGATAGATGTTAAATCCATTGATTATCAAGTCGTTATTCAGTACAGATTTGTTAAGCCAGGTTTCAGAGATGATTACGGCCCTATTTACACGGACACGATGGGGGGAAATGTAGTTTTTTTTGTATGTTAATTAGAGGAAAAGATTTGCGTTGACATGGTCGCATTTTGTGTTTACATGCATCCGGAGGATTCCCCCGTGCCCTCCCGAATCTGCTGTAGTTACCATGCCGGGTCATTAGATGGCGCTGTGAATTTTGTACCTTCACCTAATGCGCATGCGTGTTGCCTCGGAACGTTGTTTTCCTCTGTGCTAACCAGTTAACAACAATGTAACGTAACAACAAGTTAAAGCTGGATTTTGGATAAGAGTCGACAGATTTGATGCCAAGCGGGACCGCTTCATCTTACAGCTCCACACCGGTCACTGGGTGGACCAGAACCGAGTCAATGTCGGACTTTACTCCGTGATCATCAGTAGCTGTTTTACAGCAGGTAAATCAACGTTCTTAATAATGTTAGCTTGTGTTTACTTCGGTTACAAAACAACCAACTGAGTTTTTATTTTTTCCTGAAAGAAGAAGAAGCTGTCCTCCCACCAGTTTCAAACGAGGCCCAGATGCCGGGCAGGAGGACGTTGAAGAGAGAGATGTTGGATGAACTATTTATTTTAAATTTCCCTCATTTCGTTTATTCAATCCATTCAAGTTCAGGTAACGTGTTTTAATAGTGTGTTCAGTTTAATTATCAGTGTTTGTGTGACATACAGTTTGTGGTGTTGAATAAATAAATAAAAATTAAACGTGATGTCTTCAATTTCAACTTTAGTGTTCACGCTATATGTTTAGCATCATTTTAAATTTGAATTACATAATGTCCAGATAGCTTCATTTAGCTCAGAGCTTCATTATATCTCGCACTAACATAAATACGGTTCATTATTATTAAACTGTTGTTATTTAGCACATTTATGTTATAGTGCAGCGTGACGTGTGCGCGTGCCTCGTTCTATAAACAGCAATATTAGAACTGGATCAGATTGTGTCTTCCAACACAGATGTCGGTCACAGCACCTGGAATCTGACGTAGATTAACTACGAGATTAAAATATATTCCATCAATCGTAGTTCTGAAAGCAGTGTATCTGCCGCCATGTTGATAGAAATATAGCATCTGTCCGCACGTGCATCTGCGCATGTGGTTTAACACAAAGCCTCAGTGGGAGATGTTTACATTATCAGCGGGCGGTCAGCGAAAAACCTCCACTCTGTAAGGTGGGTTCAGAAACCTCCGGATTCAAAGAGGGGGGCCACTGGTGTTGTGTAAATGATCAGCAGAACCGCAGAGAGAAAGGAGCGGATGCACTCAAAATATGCGCTGTGCAAACGGCCCCTACATCTGCCCCAGAAGAACTGACCAAAATTTTCAAGGTATCAAGTTTTCTCAGAAGGCTACGAGCGTTTACATGCAGAAAATGAAATCCTGACATGTTTTTGGCGGGGCGTGGCGGTGCAATGAGCTGTTGCTGAGAACGAGGAAAAAACTGTGCGTGAGTATTATGATAAAACTTTGGTAAGTCCGTATTTATTTAAATAAAAACTGTTTAATTAAATATTAGATCATTAAGAAAGTCCTAAATATTACTAAAAAACTTTTTTGATTCAATCAAACAAACTGGACGAGGAGACCTTGGAAAGCCTGGAATTGTTTGTTGACGAGTGTTTTGACAGCTTAGTCATGGGTAAACCTAAAGAAACATCCGGTGCTGCTAGCAATTCAGCTAACATCCCCAATGCTAAGCGACATCGACAGGGAAGCTCAGACAGCGTTACGGCACCGTCTCCTGATAATTCAGGTTTAAAGGAGATATTGGAGTCAATTGACCAGAAGCTAACTAGCTTGGACGCCCGACTAGCGTTAGTGGAGATGCTACATAAAGAGTTTCAAGGCCTCAGGGAGTCTTTGGAATTCAGTCAACAGCAGGTAGCATCACTTGCTAGTGAAAATCAGGAGCTGAGAGGGACAGTGAAACAACTCACCGAGGAGATGACGCTGCTATCTGGGGATAATAAAAAAATCAAAGAATCGATCCTGGATATCCAAGCCCGGAGCATGCGGGATAATCTCGTCTTCTCGGGAATACCGGAGCGAGCGGACGAGGACCCTGAGGCCTCCGTCCGTGACTTCTTCCAGAACCAGCTGAAGTTGCCGAGTGACGTGGTTAAATCCATCACTTTTCACCGGGTCCACCGCCTCGGAGGTAAGAAGCCTGGAAGCAATCGGCCGCGGCCGATTGTAGCTAAATTTGAGCATTATAAACAAAAAGAACAAGTAAAAAGCCGAGGTAGGGAACTGCGTGACACGAACTTCAGCATGAACGACCAATTCCCTGCAGAAATTCTGAGTAGAAGGCGCGTTCTGTTCCCAATTAGGAAGAAAAATATAAACGAGGGCAGAAGAGCTGCGGTGGCTGTGGACAAACTGTACATCAATGGTCAGCTGTTTAGAGATCCAGAGGTTACTCCCTGGCTCTATTAATAATATAAATAAGGTAAGTATGATTTTCAGTTGCTAATTTTACTTAAAATGTATTAGCAAGCATATATATATTCATATTACTTACCAGATATATATGTAATTTTTCAGCACAGCTCGGTTGGTGGGTTACACAGATGGTGGTGGT